TTTATTGCGTGTCGTGCTTCAGAAATTAATGACTTATCATGTTGCATTTATTTCAACATTAATTAAAATCTTTCGACATATTCAATACGTACAACATGAAGGTACGTCGCAGGTAATTCCTATTTTATAATTAATGACGCGTCAATTCGCGTAATATTTATTCAAGTAAATGAGGAAAATTCGATTCGCATGAAAGAAGAAATTACTATCTTCTTTAATTTTTGTTGCCGCATTGAATAAATAAAGGCTTAAATCCTAGCAAAAATAAAAAAAAAATAAAATATTATAGTTTGTCTAAAAACACTCACCGTAACTTCCGTAACCTTGAGTAGCTGCTGCGGGCTGGACATTGTAACTGCTACCCCACTGATGATGTGGTGGTGGCGGAATTTGTTGCTGTTGAGGAGGGCCGGGAGGTGCACCCCAACCCTGAGAGTTGTATTGAGTAGTGTACCCAGCAGCATATCCTCCAGTCTGAGGACTGGTTCCCCAACCCTGATACTGCTGCATCATATTTCCTGGTGGACCCATCGGTCCCCCCATCATAGGTCCACCCATCTGCCCGTTCGGACCACCCATAGGTCCCATATTCCCAGCCATACCCATCGGAGGGCCACCCTGTTGAGGTGGTCCCCACTGGCCTTGGTGACTATCATTCATTTTGCTAGACGAATCTCGTGGTTCTGCACGTTTGATTTCAACCTGCAATCAGAAAGAATCGAAACGATCCCTGTAGAGAACTGTCATCGTCTATCGTGGACGACTTGGACCAATTAAAGATACTAAATAAGATTTTCATCTCAATCAGAAATCCTTATTTAATACCTTAATTATTATTTTCTATAACCGTATGATTAAACCTTTGAAACTCGCCAAGTCTTACATAAATTCTAAATATATGCTAAATTTCGACTTGTCACATAACGCATGATACGTATACGATATTCTAGAGGTTTTTCTTGTTTAGATTGATACTTATATAGTAAAAACTAAACATACAGTCGTTAAAAATAACATAGGATGAGAAAATCCTGTAAAATAAAATAAGTAC